GCACTTCCCGCCACCCGCTGTGTAGGACCTGCTGGTGTCCCACAGTCACGGTCCTGCCTCCGCCCCGGCCCCTGCTTAGGGGGAGCCGGTGGCTCTGACCTCTGGCCACAGGCATCTTCCAGCTTCTTACCAAGCCCCTCGCCCACCGCTCCCTGTCTGTTCCTGAGTTTAGCGGCTGTCCTTGTGGTTCGCGGGGGAGATGACGCAGGTGTCTCAGCTGTGTTTGGGATGCGCCCAACTGTGTTTGGGATACACCCGTGTTTGCCGTCCCCGTTTGTTCAAGGCAGGCCCGGCTCTGGCTGCCATTTTGAATCCACGGCCTCATCTAAACACCTTCACCATCCCTTGGAGCGATCAGTTACAAGGAGTTACACAAACGTGTGGCTCGATTTTCTCATTCTTAACAAAACTCGATCTTTAGAAAACACATTTGGCAGGGAACCAATGCTAGCATTGGTTTCCAAAGTGACAATCGTGATAAGAGCTTCAGGCCCAGGACCGTGGAGTCGGAGAGTGAATTCCAGGCTTTGTGGAAAGGAACCAACCTTGGTCACTTGGCTTTTCTAAATGAACGCTGAATGTGAATTAAGAGCTGACAACGTTCATCTGTGTTGGTCTAGAAAACCAGGTAGTACAACGTTAGAGAACCAGAATCTTACAAACATCTAAGCTACAGTTACCCGAGAAAAAGCATCATCATATCAGGATTCCATCCACTGTCAGAAGGGTAGTATTCACGTGGGGGCAGTCCTGTCTTCCGTGATGTGAACAAATAAAGTGAAACTCTACTCTCAGTGGAAGGAATCTGGACTAAACTTTGTACCTCATGTGATAATACAAAGTGAGACCAGACACTGAAACTCAAATGTGAGAGAAATAAAGAAAGAAGGAAACAAGAGAAAGAAATGTTTCCAATTCTAAATCAAAGGAGTAATTATGGAGGACCACACATTTAAAAAAATTATTTCTTTTTCAACTCCCTTTTTTATCTATTTTAACTTAAAATGCAGTCTCACCTGTCATCCCAGCACTTTGGGAGGCCGAAACAAGTGGATTGCCTCAATCCGCAGGTTCGAGACCAGCCTGGGCAACTTGGCAAGACCTCGTCTCTACAATACATCAGAAAATTATCTGGGTGTGGTGATGTGTTCCTATGGTTCCAGCTACTTGGAAGGCTGAGGCTGAAGGATCACCTGAGCCCCGCAGGCCGACGCTGGGATGGCTGTGAGCGTGCCACTGCGCTCCAGCCTGGGTGACGGAGTGAGACTCCAACTCAAAAAAAAAAAAGCAGTTTCCAGTATCATACATGTAGCAGGGGCGCCCAAAAATGTAGACACGTTTTAAGCTGTTTAATCAGAAGTGTCTGGAGCTGACGGGAAGCATGTCAGACACCTCTTGTAACTGCAGAGGTCAGATGCGACTTGTGTTCATCTTTTGTTATTGGTGCAGATTATTACAAGCTTAATGCAGGCTTTTCCTTCCTCAAACTGTGTCTACATGTCCTTGGCCCCTCTGCTTGAGGCTCTCCTGTGCTCAGCTGTCCCGCGACTGCAGCGAGGCTTCGTGCTCTTCTGGCCAGTGGTTTCCCTCCACCTGGGCTCCCTCGCTGCTCCTTCCCTTCCCTGGCTTTTGACTCTGACTCCTGGCACCAGGGAACGTTCCTCGGGGCCAGCTGCCTCCTCCTCAGAGGTGGCAAGCACCCAAAACTCATTTTCCTCCGAAACTCCCTATTTTCAGTCACGCTATTGTCATCCACCTGCAGCAGTTGGGGACTGAGTTTAACCACATACAAAAGAAAGCCAGGCAACCCTCTCGGGTCCCCTCCCACTGTAGGAGCTTTTCTGTCCTTTCAATAAATCCTGCTTTCAAAAAAGGAAAAGAAAAGAAAATCCAGGTCAGGCGCTGTGGCTCACACCTATAATCCTTGAATTTTGGGAGGCTGAGGCGGGAGGACCCCTTGAGGCCAGTGTTTGAGACCAGCCTGGGCAACACAGTGGGACCCCGTATCGATAATTTTTTTTTTTAATTAGCTGGGGCTGGTGGTGTGTGTCTGTGGTCCTAGCTACTCTGAAGGCTGAGGTGGGAGGATCGATCGGGCCCAGAGGTTGGAGGCTGCAGTGAGCCACGATCAAAGCATGGCACTCCAGCCTGGGCAACAGAGTGAGACCCTGTCACAAAAAGAAAGAACAGAGAAAAGGGAAGCGAGAGGGGAAGAGGAAGGAAGAGAGAGACCGGGCGAGATGGGGGTTGCAGGAGTTCCAGGAGAAGGAGAGAAGGAGAGACAGAGAGCGGAGAAAACCCAGACACGGGCCTCTGGCAGTGCAGGGACTCCCTCTCCTCTGCCGCGTCCAGGCCTGGGGGAGGCAGGTCGCGGTGGATCCCCAGGACCAGGCCTCACCCCGCCTGCGCCGGCGGAGCACCTCCCACCCTGCCGCCTTTGTGAGCAGCCCCCACCAGGCGCCTTCCTCCGCACTGTCCGGCCTGCCTTAAGCGTCTTACCCACCTCCCTCGCAGGGATCTTTGGAAGAACCAAGTCTGGGCACGTCGCTCCCTTAAACACAAGTCCTGTCCCGACGTCTCTGTCGTGTTAAGTCACCACTGCGTAACCCTAGTCCGGCCCCCTCCGACGCCCTTCACCAACCACCACCTCGGCCCTGGGCACCTGGACAGCACCAGTGTCTTCGGGGGTCGACCCCTTTCCTTCACCCCTGCTAACTCCATCGAGAAGAGAAAGCGGAGTCAGCTGTGGGTTGAAGTCTCAGAACTGGACCGGTCTCTTCTGACTTAAAAATGTTTCTCAACATCCTGAGTAGCTGGGACTGCAGGCACATGCCACCATGCCTGGCTAGTTTTTTCAAAAAGTGTTGTAGAGATGGGGTCTCAATCTGTTGCCCGGGCCGGTTCTCAAACTCCTGGCCTCAAGTGATCCTCTTGCCTCGGCTTTCCTGAGTGTGGGCCTGCAGGCGCGCACCACCACATTCGGCGACTCTTCTTATTTCACTCTCTGGGTCAAGTAGCACGGACTAAGGAAGAGCTGGGATCGGACCCAGGTCTTCTGACTCCACGCCTACCCAAAGAGATCTGAACGCCATCCTTCCATTCTCTGCCCTGTGGTGATGCCGTGGTCATTCGGCAGTGCCCATGAAGACAAGACGTTCTCACTGGGGCTGCATGTACCTTTCTGAATGGGCATGCCCCCCGGCCGGCTGTCACTGCTCAAGCCCTTCCTTACACCCTTGCCTGAGTCACCAAGAACTACGTCCAACCATCAGAAAGAGCGCCAGAAAGTCTAATGCGTGTCAGAATCTTCCCTGGGAACTTGATGGCCATGTGGGCTAATGCTGATCGGAAGACGACCCCTGGGGGGCCAAGCAAGAAGCATTAGAAGCTCGGAGTTAAGGGATGTGGGGTCCAGGCTTGCCCGAGCTCTTTTGTATCACAAGACATGACACAGGTATCTGGGGTTGGTGGGTTTGGCTCTGGAAGAGAAAACAGAGTCCATGGGGGAGCCGGGCTGAACCTGTGTTACCTAGCCCCTCCTCTTCAAGGGTAGATGTGCATGTGTTTCCTGAATTCGACATTTGGGATGAAAAACAAAAACATCAGCTTCATCCCACAAGGCTTCCTCCCAGGTGGCTAGCCACAGATCTGCAGCTACCCAAGGAGAGGAGAGAGCGAAATACTGGGCTGTGATTGTCTCCTCTGCACTGAGGACTTCGCATCCTTGGTGTCCTCAGATAAGAGGATCTGGCATGTTTCAACACGGGGTGGTGGGCTTCACCTAGGGTCTGGAGATGACATCCTTGGGGTCAGAAAGCATCGGCTCTCGACAGCCTGCTTGTCCCAAGGCTCTGACTCACAGTGGGGACGGCATCATAGGACCCAACAATGAGTGGAGAGAAGTGGCTGGAAGAGGAGCCGGGTGGCATGTCCCTTTACGTGGCAGGCCACCTACCTGGATGTGAGAGGAGGCCCAGGACTGCTTGCTGTAGTAAGTGCTTTAAACACAGCAGGAAACATATCATATTGCAACCCGTGCACACATGTCAACACACACACACACACATACACACACACACACACGGCAGCCCAAAGCCGGTGTGACGACCATAGTACACGCCATGGAGTCAGACACCTACAGCCAAGCCCCGTCCTCCCATTGAGCCCCCAAGATAATTGTGCAAAAGTTAGTGTTGTCATCCAGTTGTTTTCCTAAAAACACACGAAGTATTTGCAGAGACTATCTTTTCGTGTTTGTTGGAAACATGCTTTCTAAGTCTCTTTCTGTTGAAATCTTGGAGCCATGGCTCCAGTGCGTGGGACATGTCCTTTCTGCAACCCCGTTGCCAGAGCCACTCCGCACGGCCTCACCCCTCAAGCTAACCGTATGTGACACCAGCTGCTTTGTCTCGCAATGCCCGCCTCCCAGCCCCAACGCCCGTCGCGCTTCTGAATTCTAGTCCCAGGGAACAGAGCAAACGATGGGTGGGAGGGGGGCGAGAGCCCTCGTTTCGAGGCAAGGCTTTCCCAGATCGCCCCCCAAGTTTGCATCCCAGGGCCCAAACGCTGTCCAAGGTGTGACCGGGGTGAGGACTGTGTCTTTCTAGGGTCAGGAGGCGGAAGAACCTTGTGAGCAAGGGGGCGGGAGGGAGACGTAGAGGTGGCTCTGGGCTCCGGGCTTCCTCTCGGCCAAGTCGGTTTGGTGGAAGGGAGGGTCTGGACACGGATTCCCCTGGAACTCCCAGGAGAGTCTGCAAATAGCCTCGGTGGCTGAAGCCCCTGTCCCAAGCCTGCGGTGTCCCCATCTGTCCCTGCCTCACAGGTGTTCTGAAGAGCACCAAGGTGATGCCAGCAAAGGGCTCGGTAGAGTCCGGGGTGCGAGAGGCATATGCTCGCTGCCGATGCTCTGGCTGTTATCAGGCCCCCTGGCCTGGCGAGCAACACCAGTTCTTGGGGCGAAGGCATCCTCACCCAATGCTAACACCGCGTGTATGTTTCAGCCGCCAGTTTCCAGGCCTCGGGATACAGCTTCAACACCTACGACTGGCGGAGTCCAAAGCAGAGAGGCAGCCCGTCCCCGGCCACTAAGCCCCGAAGCCAGACCTACCCTGACGTGGGGCTGAGCACTGAAGACTGGGACCGGTCCACAGCTAGCGGGTAAGGGTTTACGCCAATGCAGCCAGGCCAGGAGGACTCTTGGCCGTGTGGGCAACGTGTGAACGCCCACTCCCGGCGGCATAGGTTGTCAGCAGCGGCTTCGTGAAGGCACCGTCACTATCCAGGCTGCCGTGGCAGGATTCTCAAATGTGTGCCTGGGCTGGCTGTGGTGGCTCACATATCCCAGCACTTTGGGAGGCTGCGGCGGGAGGATCGTTTGAGCCCAGGAGTTCCAGACCAGCCTGGGCAACATAGTGAGACCTCATCTTTACACAAAAATCAAAAACATTAGCTGGGCGTGGTGGCGTGTGCCTGTAGGCCCAGCTACTCAGGAGTCTGAGGTAGGAGGATCGCCTGATCCCAGGAGTTAGAGGCTACAGTGAGTTGTGGTCATGCCACCACACCCCAACCTAGGTGACAGAGCCAGACCGCCACTAAAAAATAAGAACTAAAAAAGGCGTGCCTGGCCAGCGGCAGCCTGGTCACCACCACACACCAGAGCCAGGCAAGGCTTCTGCTGGTGAGACGTGAGCAGCGCCAGAAAAAGCTGCTTCTATGAATCAGGGCCTCACCGTGGCAACCGGCCGCTCCTCCTTCCTTTGCGAAGTTGGTTTCACATTGTTACATTGTTTTTAAAAGACAAACCAAGGATCACCTATGCTCAGCAAAGAAGTATGGTTTACAATTGTATTCCTTAACAAAATATTTTAAGAAAACGTATTAAAAGTGATAGCATTAGGCCGGGCTTGGTGGCTCAGCCTGTCATCCCAGCACTTTGGGAGGCCGAGGCGAGTGGATTGCATGAGCCCGTGGGTTTGAGACCAGCTCAGGCAACTTGGTGAGACTTCATCTCTACAATAAATCAAAAATTAGCCAGGCGCGGTAGCGCATGCCTGTACTTCCGGCTACTTGGAAGACTGAGGCAGAAGGATCACCGGAACCCAGCAGGTCGGCACTGGGGTGGCCATGAGTGTGCCACTGCACTCCAGCCTGGGTGACGGAGCAAGACTCCAACTCAAAAAAAAAAGTGGTAGCATGTATTTATTTGTTTATTTTTTTAGAGACAAGGTCTCACTCTGTCACCCAGGCTGGAATGCAGTGGCGCAATCATACCTCACTGTAGCCTCGACCTCCTGGGCTCAAGCAGTCCTCCAGCCTCAGCCTCCTGAGTCACTGGGACTACAGGAGTCACAGCACCTGACTGATTTTTGTATTTTTTGTAGAGATGGGGTCTTGCTGTGTTGTCCAGGCTGGCCTCAAACTCCTAGCTTCAAACAATCCTCCTATCTCAGCCTCCCAAAGTGCTGGTAGATTACAGGCATGAGCCATCCGCCGCCCCCCCTGCCCATTTGATTTAATTATAATGATCTTTGTAGTAAGTGAGGAAAGATTTAATTATAATGATCTTTGTAGTAAGTGAGGAAAGCACATATTTCTCTCTTAGAGAAAATCTTGGCCTCTCCCTGTAGATAGAGCAGCTGAGATGTGTCCATGTTCCATCTCACTCCAGCAGGGCCCGTGAGGGCTACTTGTTCAGCAGCAGACAGGAGTGGTCTCCTGTTGGGGAGACTACTGCCCAGCCTGTCCTCCTTTTCCACACTTGGTTTCTCCCAGAGCAGGGGTCCCCAACCCCCGGCCACAGACCGGTATCGGTCCATGGCCTGTTAGGAACTGGGTCACACAGCAGGAGGTGAGTGGTGGGCAGAGAAGTGAAGCTTCCTCTGTGTTTACAGCCACTCCCCAGGTTTGCACGACCACCTGAGCTCTGCCTGCTGTCAGATCAGGGCTGCGTTCAATTCTCCTGGGAATGCAAACCCTGCTGTGAACTTGTGTTTGCGAGGGCTCTAGGTGGTGGCTCCGTGTGGGAACCTCATGGCCGATGGTCCGAGGTGGGGCTGAGGCGGTGAGGCGCTCTCTCTCCTTGTATGACGCAATGTAACAATGACAGAAATAAGGCACACAGTAAGTGTGAACGTTTGAATTATCTCAAGACCGCCCCCACCCCGCCGTGGAAAAACCGTCTCCCACGAAGCCAGTCCCTGGTGCCCAAGGTGGGGGACCCCGTCCTCAAGCACCCTTCTGGTGAGCGGCCGTCCGTGGAGGCCGCGGCCGGAGAAGGCCAGGTTCCAGCTGGCCTCCCTCTCCGCCTGGTGTGGGAGGAAGGGCCGAGGCTCTGGGTGCAGGGGAAACGGAAGACGGCGCCGGTGGCCCCTCACCCAGGCTGCTTCCGTCCACAGCTTCGCGGGCGCCCCGGACGGCGTGGAGGCCGAGCACGAGGAGAACTTCTGGTCGCAGGCCCTGGAGGACCTGGAGACCTGCGGACAGTCGGGGATCCTGAGGGAGCTGGAGGTAGCCTCGGCCCGCGCTGGCTGTTGCCGTTTGTCCCTTCGTTTTCTGTCCATTTCCGTCTGCATCGGTCACTCCAGCTCATTTAAAAGCTTTAACCCCTTTCCACAGGAGAAAGCTGACAGGCGTGTGTCTTTGAGAAACATGACTCTCCTGGTAGCTACCCTTTCTGTTTTTCTCGTGCTTGTGAAGCTGGCCTCCCCGCCCCTGCCTCCCCGACGGCCTCTGGTTTTCTCCACCGCAGCTGAGAGGCCCCCTCCGCCCCGCCCCCGGCTTACTGACTTGTGGCTTCTGCCGCTGCCCCGCGCTAACCCTGACCGTCCCTGTCCCCCGGCAAATCGCTACACGGCGGGCTGAGTCGCCCGGCAGCAGCGCACCCTGCTCTCTCCGTTGCTTGGGAAGGATTTCGTTGGCATGTTTCCATTTGTACCTGGTACAGAGGTTGATTTGATCGTGCAGAGGAACATAAGAGGAAATGCGATTTGATGTCCTTGGCCGCTAACAGTCCACGGCGAGGCCGCCGGAGAGCAGGGCTGGTGGGTGAGACATGCCACCAAAGCGTTCATGGCAAATCCTGGTGTCACATGAAAAGTGTGACTCCAAGGAGGAGCGAAATGGCGTGTAAGAGCCAAACTCCCGGCGAGTTCTTTAATCAAAGCCATGAATTCGCCGATGGCATTCGTGCTTCAGCCCGGGAAGTCCTGAATGGTTTCCTTTTATGTTCCTTTAAATTCTCCAAGCTGTACAAAATAAAGTGGCAAAGGCCTCGTTTTCACGTTGATGTCACCCGAGGTCCCCAAGTCACCGTAAGGAATGTGAATGGCATAACGGGGTAGAACGCTCGCGAGTCTGAAGCCGTGACTCATCTTGACATTGTTTTGCTTTTGACTGCATGTGTGGATATCGTGTGTGATTCTAATGTTTGTGACTCTGCAGAGACTCATAAAGGACAATGTGAGTTTGAATGTGTAAACATCCTAGTCTTACCTGGCATGGATTTCCTCTTCAGAGCACAGTTACGGAGCTGGGCATGGACGATCCCATCAAATTTAAATGAATTAAGGCGTTAGCCATCGATTTCCTTTCCTGCAACTTTCCAAAAGGGCAGAGTGCTTAAGCCTCAGCGGCTTGTTTAAGCTTTTATCACCTCCTGTGTGCCGAAGGAAGAGTGAGGGCGCCCTAAAACGGAAAACGGAAAACGGACAACAAGCGCAGTCCTCACTCCTGAACTCACCCCTGCTTTCACAAGCAAGTGTTGGCTCAAATGCCTTTTCCATTTTGCATTTCGATGCTTCTCTTCTGGAGAAAAAGCTGTTCTTCTCGCAGCTTCTTTTACATTAGGTAAAAAGAGCAGGGTGTGAAAAGCAATTCCAAGAGGCTGCGTTTCGACCCAGAAATCGAGTTGTCTCGTGCAAACCACCCGGGTCAGCACAGAGGCGACGTCACCATAGCCTGTAGGTTTCCCAGAGCACAACGTAGGCAGGTATGGCCCTCGACAGGACACATGCGAAAAGACATGAGTTGAATGTACAGGCCAAAGCGAGATTAAAACCCTCAACCAGGAGGAAGGGCTGGAAAACTCAGAGATCAGAGTCATAGCTACACTTTTACCACAAAGAATAGTCACCGTTCGTTTAAGTGAACTCCGTTCCCTGGATTGGAAATTGTATGAAGCCCAAAATATTGGTGGAACTGGATTCCTGCATGTTAAATTTACTTTCAGCATTCAAGTTAAAGCACTCTACAGCACTAACACATGTAGAAGATTAGCAAGGATGAAAAATGATTACAATTGAAATGAAAATGAAAATTAATGTACTAATCATCTTCCTTGCCGCTAGCAATACTTTAGGTTCGACTATAGTACAGAAAAAAATATATCGCTTTAACAAAAGAGAAATATTTGACAAGTCTGCAGGTAAATTTATAACTTTCCTTACCAGATATTTCTTCTATAAAATGTGGGGACTGGCCTGGCGCAGTGGCTCAAGCCTGTAATCCCAACACTTTGGGAGGCCGAGGCAAGAGGATTGCCTGAGCCTGCAGGTTTGAGACCGGCCTAGGCAACATGGCGAGACCTCATCTCTACAATCAATCACAAAATTAGTCGGGCATGGTAGCGCACGCCTGTAGTTCCGGCTACTTGGAAGGCTGAGGCAGGAGGAGGCAGGAGGATCGCCTGATGCTAGGGTGACTGTAAGCGTGCCACTGCACTCCAGCCTAGGAGATGGAGTGAGACTCCAACTCAAAAAAAAAAAAATGTGGGGAATTACAGTGATCTGATGCATACTGGCACTTAGCGAGTTTTCCATACAGTATTCAGTAAACAAAAACATTAAACATTATTTTTGCCATCTCTTGATTAATGAACACTGCTTTAGCTGTTTTTTGTTTGTTTAATATAACATAGGAAGAATGTTTAACTATCAGACAGAAAACTTTAAGTTGCCTTAGAAAAAATAATTATGAATTAGAAAGAATAATTATGAATTGTGGCAAATGAAAACAAGCAATAATGTTCTTGAAGCCAAACCAAATCCTAGGTAATTTAAAATAATTATTTTTTAGCTTCTTATTTTAGTTTTTACATTTGTGTTTCAGTTTTCATATTCTTTCTTAGATACTACTTGAAGTTCATTTTAAGCAAAGCTATCAAGCCATGTTTTGAAAACTGGAACTAAGGGATTATTGGCAAGATCTCATTTCTTCCTAAAGTCTTTTCTAAATCAATTTGTAATTTCTTCTATGGTAGCTAAGTCTCATCAGAGCAAAACTGTCGCCTCCCAGATGTCATGATTCAGTGTTTGGCTTCCCACATTTCCTGCTGTTCCTGTGAAAGATGAATATTAACAAAATGGATATTAACAAAGCAAACAACTAGTCTAAGTAGCTGAAGATAATAAATGGGTGGTCACCACAGCAAGGAGATCAGTTTCAGCCGATGACAGATAGAAATGACCCATATGAGTGTCATAAAATAAAGGTGGCCTAGGACACCTTTATTTTATGACATGGACAAGCTTTAGTACACATGGAAACAGTATTGATCGGAAATAAGCCACGGCATGGCTAACTCACCCTTGCTTAAATGTTAGGGATCTTTTAGGGTTTGGGGGAGGTTCCACCTCATACTTGACTGAGAATTAGCACAGGCTCTGGGGCTAATTCTCAAGAACACAGGCTCTGGGGCCAGAATGCCAGGGCTCCAGCCCCAGTCTCCAGGGGTTCTGGGGTCAGAGTGTCAGACTCCAGCCCCAGCCTTCGAGGGTTCAAGGTCAGAGTGTCCGGACTCCAGCCCCAGCCTCCGAGGGTTCAAGGTCAGAGTATCAAGGCTTTAGCCCCAGCCTCCAAGGGTTCCAAGGTCAGAGTATCTGGACTTCCAGCCCTAGCCTCTGAGAGTTCCGAGATTAGAGTGTCAGGATTCCAACCCCAGCCTCTTAGGATTCCGAGGTCAGAGTGTCTGGACTCCAGCCCCAGCCTCTGAGGGTTCTGGAGTCAGAGTGTCGGGCCTCCAGCCCTAGCCTTCGAGGGTTCTGAGATCAGAGTGTCAGGACTCCAGCCCCAACCTCTTAGGGTTCTGAGGTCAGAGTGTCTAAACACCTGCCCCAGGCTCCCTGGCAGTGGCTCCACTTGTCCAGGCAGCCCTAATATACCTGAGAGGTATAGCAATTTTAGTATCTACCATGTGGAGTGACATATGAGATGGTCTCCACATAGTATACATGGGACTTAGCACAGGGTAGTGTTTGAGGCTGGCAAGTCTTTCTACAGTTACACTTTTTTTTTCCACAATGATCAGTGAGATATAGACAACCTAGTCAGGCTATGGATAGGTTTACTTGTTTTTTTTCTTTGTCCACGTGTCAGGTGCACACATGTGCCAGTGTTTCCCACCGTTCAAAGCTCTTGTCCATAGCATGCGCCACTGAGCACCAGGTGACAGCTGTGATTCATAGAGCTTAGGGAGGTGACAGGTGAAAACCCCACTCACTTTGGCCCAAGGAAAGACAATGGGCGGTGCTGGACAGAGCACTTGGGAGAACCCCTTGCCTTTGTGCCAGTGTTCCCATGCCAGCCAACCATGAGTGCCCGCTAGAGGTTGAGGCAGCCTGAGCCCCTTCTAGAAATTTCTAGTTGGTATCTGTAAGCTGTGGGAAAGGTGGCCCCATGGATCCCACCCAGTGGAAAGTGAATGCTTAAAATGTGGTTTGCGGTAAGCAAATGTCAGAGCTTTTCAATCTGCCTCCACACTGCCAGGGGTGGTATTTGAGTAAATAAACTCAGCGGCTTAAGTACTTAAATCGGATCTGAGGTGCGCACTGGAAATGCCAGTTGCAGAGCGTTTGCCAGACGTTGGCAGTTCTGCGAGTCCATGCAGCCTCCAGCCTCCTGCTGTGCCCTGAAGAGGCTGCGTTGGGGCGGAAGGAGGAGTGTGCGTGACGCTGGGCGGCCGAGCCCCTCCCTAGCCCGCGGCTTAATTGTTTCTGGAAATTGTTGATGCCGCAGGCCACCATCATGTCCGGGAGCACGATAAGCTTGAACCATGAGGCCCCCACACCTCGCACACAGCTGGGGCGCCAGGCCAGCTTCCAGGAGCGGGGCAGCTCACGGCCGCACTACAGCCAGGCCACCCGGAGCAACACCCTGCCCTCCGACGTGGGCAGGAAGTCCGTCCCCCTGAGGAAGGTGAAGCAGGAGATGATGGAGATCATGTCCCCGACACCCGTGGAGCTGCACAAGGTCAGTGAGCGCTCTTCCTGGCCCCGGTCCCCCGGGAGCCTTGGGTATAGCGCCCTGGTGACAGACAGCAAGACACCCTCCTGTGGGCCCAGCCCAGCAGAGACATTCCAGGGCAGGGGCTCAGAGATTGTGTCCTCAAAACGTGGTCCCTGGGGACTTATCCTGGAAAGCAGGGAATTGGTTTTCAAAAGATATGTTTACGAGAAGTATATCTCGGCTGAGCGAGGTGGCTCACGCCTGTAGTCCCAGCACTGTGGGAGGCCAAGGCAAGAGGGTCGCTTGAGCCCGGGAGTTCGAGATCAGCCTGGGCAACATCACAAAACCCCATCTCTATAAAGAATCAAAAAGTTAGCCAGGCATGGTGGCACAGGCCTGTAGTCCTAGCTATTTGGAAGGCTGAGGCAGAAGGATCGCCTGAGCCCAGGAGGTCGAGGCTGCAGTGAGCTGTGTTCGTGCCCCTGCACTCCAGCCTGGGTGACAGGGTGAGACCCTGACTCAAAAAACAAAAAGGAGTTAACAGCCAAAATCTTCTTACAAAATTGTGAGGCTACAGTGGCACGTGGAGATTTGATGAATTTGCCTATTACTCCAATCTCACTGGAAGGAGCTAGCTTTTCTAAGTGCCACGGGCTCATAGCATCTCTGACAAGGGACTTCGGGCCACTGGGCACACAGTCCCTCCATTGCAGACTTGCAGTCAGTGGCCGGGATGCCCAGGAGATGCAGAGTTCTCCGGGAGACATACATCGTGTGTCGTGGGCAGGGACGGTGGGTCTGGCTGTGCCCACCCTGACCGGGAGAGTGATCTCATCCTTCTTCCTGGAAGAAAGCTCGGTCTGCACATACAGCTGCATTCCGGGGTGGTGGACAAGGTGTGTGTCGGTGCTAGAGTTTGTGGAGCCCTGGGCCAGAGAGCTGTGACGAGGGGGTGTCTCTGCTTTCTTTCTGAGAGCTCGTGCTTAGGCCTTGGTTAACCCAGAAGGGTGTGTAGGATAGTGACCATCCTGCCCCAACTCCCTTGAGCACCAAGACCTTCTCTACAGTTGGTAAACTAGTGACGAGGGATGACTCCTCTCCCCCAGAAGAGCAGATTTGTGTCAGACTCAGAGGAGGTGACAGGCCGGCTGCTCACCTGTCCTCTGAAGACCTCGATGTCCCTTGCTGCCTTGTAAAATCTAGCTGCTTATTTCTGCAGCTGACAGAGGAGACAGTGATAAGAGGGTGCTGGGGGGCTGGGTTCTGAACTCTCTGTTCCAACCCTGGGTCTATCCTTCCAATACCCATTCGTCCGTCCGCTGGATACACACCCCGTGCGTTGAGTCACTCAAAGACTACATTGTGCATGGTGGGGCAAGGGGGACTGTCGGGGAAGCATCGGGAAGATTGGGGGACAAGCACAAGGGCAGAGGAAATCCTGGCAGCCTCAGGGTCCAGAGGGTGGATACTGACCCACCAGAGAAGAGACAGCAAGGGCTTCCCGGAAGCAGGTTTGACCTTGCAGAGAAGCAGGGGCACCCTTAGCACAGAGAGGGGCGTGGGCCCTGGGTGGCCACGTGTGTGGCATGAGGAGGGGACACAGACATTCCGACGTGCCCAGGACGGGGACCTGGAGCCCTGGGTGCCGGGAGATATCGTATACTCACAGAACGGCCAAGATATTGCTAACTGTCAGGATGAGGGCCCAGGTTCAACCCCAGGCACCGGCCAGCCTGTCTATCCAGTCACCCTGCACCATGTGTGTGGCCGGCAAGTCACATGTCCTGATGCACCCACGGACACGCACCCGCAGGCTGCAAGGAGGCCCTGGTGGTTTCGCTGCAGAAGCCGTGGGCTCAGTGTGGAGTCTTTGTGCCAGGAAAGGGGTGGTCTCTGTGGACACTGCCTCTCACTCTTCCTATGGGTCTCCTGCCCAGACCTGCTAGCCCCCTTCCTTCACCCCAGGGACACCGGGACTAGCGCATCCGACGTGCCAGGTGCTGTGTCTGCTTGATATCTGCAGCCCTCACAGACACAGGACTGAGACATGGCATGTATAAAACAGAGTCGCTTTTCCTCTGGAGTGCAGCAATCTTCTGAAAGGAAGATGACTGGATAGCCCAGGAATACAAGAGACCCGCTTCCTCTCCCCCTGCAGAAAAGCATTTAGCAAAGGCGAGGATGATGACTTGGATGTGCAGGTGATTCTAGCTGAGCTTTAGAACAAGTTATTCTGCTAAAAATAAAAAATAAAAAAACTGGCAGATCTTATTGAAAAGAACAGTGCCGTCCACTCACTGGTGTGACAAGTGGCTGCGGACAGGTGGGCGGGGCATTTGTGTGGCAGTGTGTGAACCAGAAGACCCTAGGATCACAGACAGGGATGGGCCAGTGTGCCCTGGCCAAGGGGGTGCTTCTTGGGGTGTTTCTGCACATGCCTTGGGTGTCTGTTCTTGTGTGAGGAGTGCAGGGGGCCGGCAAGGCCATCCTGAGTGCTCGCTGCTGGGCACAGCCTCCGGCTCCGAAGTGCTGGAGAGGAGAGGCCATCACTGGAAAACCATACACCTCTGAGCATGCCCTGGTATCTTTTGAACCCTGGCAGACTGCCCGTCACCACGAGAAAGCCCAGTGACTCACTGGCGGAATGGAGCCATCTTCCCCCTGGGGTGCTCCCAGTCTGCCCTCACCTCTGTGTCCAACAGGACAAGGCACTCGCTTGGGGCAGCCTGAAGTGGGGCTCGGGAATTCGGAAAATGCCCCTTCCTCAAGTCCGAGAAAGCCCGAGCCAGAATGTCCAGCCTGACACTTAGAATGGGCTGGTTCCTTCCCAAGGACCCAGGGGCCACCAAGACTGGAGAAAAAAGGCTGGCGAGATCACCCCCACTATCCTGACACGCTCCTGTTGCCAGCGTGGCGGTGGGCTTGTTCTTGGCGAAGACTATGTCCATGAGCACATGGCGTGGCCCTGTGCGTGTCCAGGCCAACACCCGCAAAGCCTCACTCCTTTCCCTGCAGTTGGAGCCAGACATCTCTCCAGACGGGCTAGGGCCCTTCCCAGGGCTGGGAAGGAAAAAGCTGAAGCCACCCCGTCTCCGGTGGGTGGTCATGGGCGTCATCTTCACACAGAAACAAGACATGCTGGCGTATCTCTTCCCGTGCCTGGGGTCTCAGCCTCCCCCAGTCGCCCTCCTCCTGTGTCCCACCCAATCCTTCCTCCAGACCAAGGTCCTGAACTCAGGTCGAGTCTGGATGGTCCGGCATGTCCTATGAACCGCCGTGTCCAAGGCTCTGCCAGGGTCCAGCAGGCCTCCCTCCTCGTTGCCCTCCTCCCTCCTCGTTGCCCTCCTCCCTCCTCGTTGCCCTTCATCCTGAAGCCAGAGGTTCGCCGTTGCCCCGATCCTTGAGGCCAAAGAAACAGCCTTGCCTCGTTTTCTGGCTGTGTAGATGCGGGAGGAGATTAGAGCCGGAGAGAATTGAAACTTGGGGTGGAGGGCAGAGAGCCCGTCACATGAAAGTGACCTCCTGTCCCCCAAGGCCACGGCTGCTCCAGCTTTCTCTGCTGGGACACACCGCCTGAAGTATACCGTACCTCCCAACTCAGGACACACACACACCCCGCTCGTGTAGAGGAACGGAGCCAAAAATGTCCCACATAGCAGATGCAACTTCTTTTTCCTATTTCTCGTTAAGCTGAATTCAAGACACGCTAACCGTCCTCCACCCGAAGTTTGAGGACTCCAGCCTTACACAGGCGTGGGGGTGTGGCCCCGATTGTCCACAGGATGCAGGTTCCTAAGCCACTTCGGACTCACCCCGGCAGCCCTTTCAGGAGTGCCGCCAGGAACCCACCACAGCCTGCATGCAGGGGGCTCGTCTACTGATGAGGATGGAGAATGACCCACCGCCTTGCTGAATGGGTGAGCTGACGGCTGCTGTGAGTCCAAGGCAGCCACGGGGGCAGCGTGGTCCTGGGCCCGACTTCCTGTTGCATCTTTCCAGCCAGTTCCACGCGGGCCACAGCTGCTCGTGGGCTCTCTCCCCTCGCAGACAAGGAGCTGCGACCCTAGCGACAGCTCCTTGACGGCCCTTCTGCCCTTGAGGCGTGCGTGTCCTGGGGTGTCCACGGAATCTGCTTCTCAGATGAATTCCAGGTCCCTGTCTTTGCACACCTTAAGCCCAAAAGGTCTGTGTAGGTTGGAAAGTTTTCTGCATTCCCAGCACTTGGACTTTTAAGAAACTCGTATTTCCTTGAATACCTACTGTGACTCAAACACCGAGCAAGCGTCTAGATTTGAACTGCAGATAAGATACACATAGTTCCTTGCCCTTGTATGAAGCTGACAATCTAAGAGTTAGAAATTTCTTTTTTGTTTGTTTGTTTGAGTTGGAGCCTCACGGTTGTCGCCCAGGCTGGAGTGCAGCGGCACGCTCACAGCCACTGCAGCCTCGACCTGCTGGGCTGAGGCAATCCTTCCACCTCTGCCTTCCAAGTAGCTGGAACTACAGGCGTGCACCACCACACTTGGCTAATTTTTTGATGTATTGTAGAGACGAGGTCTCACCAAGTTGCCCAGACTGGTCTCGAAACCCTGGACTCAAGCCATCCTCTCACCTCAGCCTCCCAAAGTGCTGGGATGACAGATTTGAACCACCGTGCCCAGCCAGAAATTTCAAGAGTAAAGTATTATGATGGTTAAGGGCAGATGCTATGGAAGTGTATCCTCAGGGAATAAGCCTAGTCCAGGGAGGTGGAAAAAAAAAAAGAAACTCGTATTTCCATGTCCTGTGCCCTGTGCTTTATACTTCTCAGTGAAAGTACTTCTTCATTGTCTGCAGCTATTTTTATTGATCTCTCTTCAGAAAGGCATTTTCTGTGTGTGTGTGTGTTGGGGGTCTCACTTTGTTGCCCAGGCTGGTGTGCGGTGGCATGATCACAGCTCACTGCAGCCTCAACCTCCTTGGGGTCAGGCGGCCCTCCCACCTCAGCCTTCTGAGTAGCTGGGACTACAGGCCCATGTCAACAC